TTTTTATATCTTGTTCGATATAACTATGCATTTGATGGGACTAACGAAAATGATCAATTACTATTCTATCTCGTGGTGTTTGGTGTGTCTTCTTGTCGACCTCAGTGGCAGGTTGAAGTGTTCGAGCAGTTCGGAAGAAAAAATCCACCATGACTAAGGCCTCCGAGCTGGGTGGTCGCATGTAATGACCACTCCTTTGAGGGTGGACTTGTGTTTGAAGACAAAAAATCCACCATGACTAAGGCCTCCGGGCTGGGTGGTCGCATGTAACGACCACTCCTTTGAGGGTGGACATGTGTTCGAAGACAAAAACTCCACCATGACTAAGGCCTACGGGCTGGGTGGTCGCATGTAACGACCACTCCTTTGAGGGTGGACATGTGTTCAAAGACAAATAATCCACCATGACTAAGGCCTCCGGGCTGGGTGGTCATATGTAACGACCACTACTTTGAGGGTGGACATGTGTTCGAAGAAGACCATGACTAAGGCCTCTGGGCTAGGTGGTCGCATGTAACGACCACTCCTTTGAGGGTGGACATGTGTTCGAAGACAAAAAATCCACCATGACTAAGGCCTTCGGGCTGGGTGATCGCATGTAACGACCACTCTTTCGAGGGTGGACATGTGTTCGAAGACAAAAAATCCACCATGACTAAGGCCTCCGGGCTGGGTGGTCGCATGTAACGACCACTCCTTCCAGGGTGGACATGTGTTCGAAGAAAAAAATCCACCATGACTAAGGCCTTCGGGCTGGGTGGTCGATCCTAGTATTGGGTCGGTGAAGACAAGGAGCCTATTGGAGACCTCGGAGGCAGGTCAATGATTTCTACTTGGTTTCTATTTGGTTTCTATTTTGTCATATTTATGTCTCTGACCTCAATGGCAGGTCGAGTAAGATTATTACGGATAGCTCGAGCAGGTTGAAGGTTTTATTTGGTTTGGTTTTGTTATATTTATGTTTTTTACCTCAGTGCGGGTCGATGGTTTTATTTGATTTGATTTTGTCAAATTTATTTTTCGACCTCAGTGGCGGATCGAGGAAGTTCATTTCGAGCAACTCAGGGAGTTTATTTGCAGACCTCGGTGGTAGGCCGATGATCTTCATTTGATTTTGGTTATGTCGAGTTTATTTTTCGACCTCAGTGGCGGGTCGAGGAAGTTCATTTCGAGCAACTTAGGGAGTTTATTTGCAGACCTCGGTGGTAGGTCGATTGTCTTTATTTGATTTTTGGTTATGTCGAATTTATTTTTCGACCTAAGTGACGGGTCGGGGAAGTTTACTTCGAGCAACTCAAGGACTGTATTTGCAGACCTCGGTGGTAGGTTGATGATCTTTATTTGATTTTGGTTATGTCGAATTTATTTTTCGAGGGAGTTCACTCGGAGCAGTTCACGGAGTCAGGTTATTCAGGTTGATGATTTTATTTGGTATTTTCGAATTCGGCTTTTGACTTCGGTGTGGTGTCAGGACATTCGGTTTTCAAGAGGATAAACAGCAGGGTTGAATTTCAAATTTTGAACTGAGGGGGCGATGATAGGACGAGGTGGTAGGAAAGGTTTATCTTTGAATGAAGAGAGCTCGAACATGGTGGTCGAGAAGCAATAGACGTGAGTTCAAATTTTCAAATTAAAGACTTCGTGAAGAGATCAAGAAAATCCACCAAAGTAAGCAGATCGGGAGATAGCAAAAGAAAGTCGACATTGCAAAATGAGGAGCATAGAAATCCGCTCTAGAAATCAAAGTTCGATCCTAGTGGCGGGTCACTCGGTTTTCGACCTTGGTGGTCGTTTGACTTTTGGTGTTCGACCCCAGTGGCGGGTCACTCGGTTTTTGACCTCAGTGGTCGTTCAGCTCTCGGTGTTCGACCCTAGTGGTGGGTCATTTGGTTTTCGACTTAAGTGGTCGTTTGACTTTTGGTGTTCGACCCCAGTGGCGGGTCACTCGGTGTTCGACCTCAGTGGTCGTTCAGCTCTCGGTGTTCGACCCTAGTGGCGGGTCTCTCGATTTTCAACCTAAGTGGTCGTTCGACTTTTGGTGTTCGACCCCAGTGGCGGGTCATTCGGTTTTCGACCTCAGTGGTCGTTCAGCTTTCGGTGTTCGACCCCAGTGGCGGATCTTTCGGTTTTCGACCTAAGTGGTCGTTCAGCTTTTGGTGTTCGACCCTAGTAGCGGGTCATTCAGTTTTCAACCTCAGTGGTCGTTCAGGGTCTCTCGGTTTTTTACCTAAGTGGTCGTTCGGCTTTTGGTGTTCGACCCTAGTGGCGAGTCATTCGGTTTTCTACCTCAGTGGTCGTTCAGCTTTTGGTGTTCGACCCCAGTTGAGGGTCTCTCGATTTTCAACCTAAGTGGTCGTTTGACTTTTAGTGTTCGACCCCAGTGGCGGGTCATTCGGTTTTCGACCTCAGTGGTCGTTCAGCTTTCGGTGTTCGACCCCAGTGGCGGGTCTCTCGGTATTCGACCTCGGAGGCAGGTCTTTCGATATTCTACCTAAACGGCGGGTCTTTCGGTTCTTGACCTTAGTGGTCATTTGGTGCTAATTTGGGGTCCCGACGCTCATTTGGAGGTTTGGTAATTATTTGGTGGTCGATGATTTATTCAAATTATAACCTCAGTGGCAGGTTAACGGGAACAACCCGAAGAGGAATTTCACTCTTGGATCGAGTCATTCTTACTCGACCAGAGTGGGGGACTAGATGACATAAGATATTATACTAGATCGGGTTTAATGGATAAAAATAAAATATATTGAAGGATAAGCCTACACATGGCCAGAACACATGGCATGATGCTATTGGACAAGCCCAACTTGGGCCATAAGGTACACTCCCCCTATAAAGGGGGTTAAAGTATCTTATTCTCTCATTCTCTCTACATTCATAATTATACTCTGGGATTTGGAGTGATATTGACTTGAGCGTCAGAGGCCCGACGCCGAGACTCCTCCCGGCGTTGAATTCTTGCTGGTCCGGTGACTGTTTGAGTTGAAGGAGCCCGATTGAAATCTTATTCACTTCATAACCCTTTCGAATCCCTAACCAAGCATTTCATAGACTTGGCGAGTGTGGAATCACACAACTGGAAGAACAAAAGATGAATGATCCTTATCAAGTGACATACGCACAATACAACAAAATACAAATATTAGTCCAATCGTCAGTCAGATAAAGGACGTACTAAATTATAACCAGAAGTCGTTAAACAAAAGCATTCTTACTACCAAAAACCGAAAATTCAAATTTCAAGCTTTGCACACTGCATTATAAACATCCAGTGAAATACCCAGCTTGTATCAAGTGAAATTCAAATTACATAGCAGTTCTAATATCCATCAAAATACCCAGCTCTGCACAATAATGAGATCGAATTTATACAAATATCTGTATTACTTGCCTCCTAAATAACTTTCATTTCTAGAACCCATCAGATTGTATCACAAGAAATTCGTACAGCTTTCTAATTCTTGACATTGATAACCAATTTATAATGCACACAAAACATAACAATACTCTGTTAAGAATTCATAACAATCAGAGTTCACAATACAACTGTATCATCCCAAGAATAGATCAACAGTCCAACTGAAACGAAGAAAAATATCGAAAAATTACAATTATTTTATAAATAAAAATACTGGAACATATAATCAAGAAAAAAACCGTGCTTCCACCTCAAACCCCCAAATTGAGCAAAAAAAGGACCAATAAAAAGGATAAAAAAATGGTACCTTTTTCAATCAGAATCTATGGGATGCGTCGACTCCAGCCCGAGCCGCTCGAGGGCATTCTGGCTGACCCAGCTTCGCGCTGCCAGGAAGCTCGTGGCATGGCGTAGCACAACAGTTCCTAATCCTTCAATTTTTGGGACTCTCCACCGCGAGAAGCCTATATGCCTACAATTGCGGTCGCTGAGCTTGTTTCATCCCACGGCGAGCTTCTCGAGCGATTTGAGCTAGCAGATGTGGTTTAAGGGGACTGGGACGCAGAGGTTCTGCCTCAAGAGGCCGGTTCTGGTGACGAGTCCGTCGAGATATTGGGGGTGTATTGGGGGTGTATTATTAGGATTTTTTAGGATTTTTTAAAACTTAAAAAATCCTAGTATATTCAAATTAGATTTGTTAAGATTTTTTAATACTTTTAAAAATCCTAGAGTATTCAATTGGGATTTTAAAGTCTTATAAAATCTTGAGGTACTTAATTTATTTGATATTAGGATTTTTTAAGACTTTTTAAGATTTGGTGGGATTTCTAAAAAAAACCTTATATGAAATTTTACTTCAAATCCCACTTCCAGACTTAGCATTTCACGGAATTTCTCCGAAATTTGAAAATCTTAACAAATCTCAAATCTTAAAAAGTTTCAAAATGTCACTTGAAATTCCAATTGAATACGCCCTAAATGATTTCGAGTAATTCGAAGAGGTTGGATTTCTACTCACAAAAAATCTTGCATCTTGTTGACGAACCCAGCTTACGAAAAGTATCGAGGAAATGACAAAATTAACGATCACATCTGATTTTTGTGAGGGTGTATATGGATTGTACAGTAAACAAGCAATCAAAACTCAAATTTAACTCAACTCCACTATCTTCAATATTGTTAATATAATTAAATAATATCAACCAATCATTCTTGCACATCACTTCAACTTTAATTTACTATTCATCCACTTACATAATTTTAACTAACCATCACTTTCAATCATTTTTTTTGCTTTTATATTAAATCAACTTTAATTATTTTATTTTAAATATTATTTTAATATATTTATTAACAACTAACCACACCATATTTTTTCAAACTTAACTATAATTAAGAAAAAACTAATTTTTCAGTAATTGAATTGATATCCAATCACGCCCTTAGTAATTTGCTAAAGTGCCATTTTAAGAGGGATATGGTATTCCTTCTAAGGGGTCAGATGTGGTATCCCAATTTTAGGTATAACTGGATGGGGCTTCGCACATTTCAAGGGCTAACTTTGAACAAACCAAACATATTAATAGACCAAAAATATTAAGAGAAGGATATCAAGCCATTTGATGTCAATCAAACAAGCCCTAAGTGGAGAACATTAACAATATTTATGAACTTAAGTTGGCCGTTCAAATTTGTGAGACAGCAAAATCGTGCTGTATATAAACGCGAACCCTAATCTAAAACCTCCTCACTTCTTCTCACTGGACCTCGCTCAACAGAAAAGAGAGAAAACATCTCAAGGTGCGGCGGCCGCTGTCTCTTGAGGTTCACGGTATGATCTAATTCTCTCTCCTTTGGTAGATACTGATTGATAATGAAATTTACTGTTAATGGTGTTAATTTTTGGCATTCTGTAATGGTGTTAATTTTTGGCATTCTTTCGTAAAATCGTTTATATATGTTTCCTTTTCCTCAATTATTTTATCGAATTTCGTTTTCGATTTTACTAGATCATGCCGCTTCTATTCGAATATCCCCTTTTTTTACTGCTCTCCGAGGTTAGGTTTCGGTTGAGAAAAATGTTAATGGTCCACGGTTAATAACAACTGAAGAGGAAAAAGGTGCTATTTGATATTTGTATTTGTAAGAACGGAACTATGTTCTAGGTGTTGGGGCTGTGCTCAGTTTTCTGTGCTTGTCATTGTTAAGAAAACCCTCAAACAACCCATGAGAAGGAGCTAGTAGACTGAAATGGGGTCTATTTAGCAGGAGCGTCCCATTAGAGTGCTCAACGGTTTAATATTCTAGCAAGATATGCATTTTGAGGAAATATCTTAAGGTTCTATGGAGGATTATTTTATTGTATTTTACAACATGCAATTTGATGCACGGATTAATATGCCTACCAATGTGTGTTAGGAGATTAACATACCATACATGGTGAGTATGTGCTTGAATAAAATGATTAGTGTGAATTTTGTTTGTTCAATCATGTCTTGGAATTTACCGACACTCGGCCTCCTTTCGTGATAATAATTGTAGTCAAGTTTGCTTTGTTTGTAAATTATTATGAACTCTGTTCCACAAGTCTTGGAGTTAAACTATGCATTTGTACCCATTTTATACATTTTGGATCTTTGCGTTTTATATCTGCGTTACATTTCATATCTCCAATTAGATTGCCTTGAAAGATGGTGAGGGTGAATGTAGTGCATGATGCACTGAAGAGCATGTATAATGCCGAGAAGAGGGGAAAACGTCAGGTCATGATTAGGCCTTCCTCGAAAGTCATCATCAAGTTTCTTCTGGTCATGCAGAAGCATGGTAAGACAGTAATTTCTTCACATGACTATTAATTTATTTCTTAGTTTGTCCATTTTTGGATTTCATTAATTGTTTGTTGTGGTGAATTTTCAGGGTACATTGGCGAATTTGAGTGCGTAGATGACCACAGATCTGGAAAGATTGTGGTGGAGCTGAATGGAAGGCTCAACAAATGTGGAGTGATCAGCCCTAGGTTTGATGTTGGTGTCAAGGAAATTGAGCCTTGGACTGCCAGGCTGCTCCCATCAAGACAGGTACAGTGACAATAAAATTGATAATATCAAAACAACAAGTTCACTTTTTTCTTTTGCTTTAAAGTATCCTGCGTCTTATTAATGAGGGTAATTGACGGCTAGTTCATCTTGATTAGTGTGAATTGTTTACTGAACTGTATAATTCAGGGTCAATTGTTGAGCATCATGTGTATCATGAAATCGTTGATGAACTTTGACTTGTACTCTTTGAACTTTAAAATTGTTGAACATAATATAGAAGTTTGAGGTTTTGCTGATATGCCTGTCCGCCGGGTTAAGTTATCCTAAAAGTAGGCACAAAAGCAAATTTCTGGCTTTTTTTTTGGTATTACATTATCTGTACTTTATGCTGACCAATGTCCTATTTGATATTATGAATGTTTGGTTTGAAGAACAATATTTTTGACCTTGTTGTAAAATACTGTTTGGGCCGCAAATTGCAGGGGCACCTTCCAAGATATTATTGTATACTGAATACGATTTGCTTACACTATAAATTGACCCTTGTTTGTATCTGCTATTGGACTTGATCTGAGCATTTTTAGGACTAATGTCAATCTTTCTATACGCTTCGCAGTTCGGTTACATTGTGCTGACGACATCTGCTGGGATCATGGATCATGAAGAAGCTCGTAGGAAGAATGTTGGAGGGAAAGTACTTGGGTTCTTTTATTAAGCATGGCTTGTTTGATATTTATAGTTATGCAGTGGACCTTATTGAATCAATTGTTGAGGTTTCATGGTGGGATTCTGGGAGACCTTTTGTTACCTTTTTTGTGTTTTATCTTTTTACCTCTAAAACTAGTATGTACCCCGTGCGATGCACGGAAACAATATTAAATCTACAATATTATAAATAGACCTCGAGTTTGAGTTACTAAGTGGAAACTACTATTGATTCTATTTAAAAAGAGGAAGAAAAAAAAAATTATAAATTAAAGAGGAGGATAAACAATACTTAATAATTATAAATTTAAGATTCGGGGTCAAACAATGTAAAATTATTTTGTATACGAGAAAATAAAATTTACATTATTTTGGACAAGAGAATATAAAATTTGGACCTTTAATATTAAAACACCTAAAATGTTATATTAGTATATGTAAAAGTATTCAAAATTTTCTATATTATTTTTGTAAGATGTGAAGTCACCTACAACTTTTCTAAACAATTTTAGAAGGAAAATATATCTAAAAACATTTGAATTTAACATTGTGTAAAAAAAAAATTTCTAGTCTGTTTTGTAAAGAAAACATGTCTACAAATATTTAAATTTAACATCAATTATGTATATGTGTGTATATATATATGTATATATAGACGAATATGTAAAAAAAAATGTCTAAACAATGTGTTTAAAATATCTAAAATATTATAAGACTAATTTAATAAAGACATTCAGATGATACCGAATTTATGGTGTTACTTCCATCTAACAAAATTTGATTACACACAATTTCAAAATTATTATATACATTTTACGTTGCTTTCGAGGATGTATTGTTAGTTTATAATATTTGTAAAAATATTAATAATTAGACCGATGAAAATTAGCAGCGCTCGAGGATGTATTGTTAGTTTATAATATTTGTAAAAATATTAGTAATTAGACCGATGAAAATTAGCAGCGCTCTCCTATTTTTTTTTTTAAATAAGGGATGAGATTTTGAGTACCATAAAAACAGGTAAAAAAAATACAAATATTTATTGTCGGCGGGTGAAAAAAATAGGAAAAAGAAAAATAGATATATACTGTCACCGGCGGGCGGTTTTGAGTACCAAAAAAAGGAAAAAGAAAAACAGATATACACTGTCACCGGCGGTTTTTGAGTACCAAACAAAGAGGAAAAAGAAAAACATATATATACACCGCCGATTTTTTTATTTTACCAACAATTACTATATATAAGATACATTTAATGATATTGGCGGAAAAAACTTGCTAAATTTGTAAAAAGATTATTCTTTTTATATAATGATAGATGTACTTGAGATGTTAAGAGAGTTTTGACTTAGAAATCGTGGTCATCTATTTCATTTTTGGACAATCATGTTTTCTGGTCCAAGCTTCATTTTTTATGTTTGTTTTATCTGTGTTGATAGATCAATTTTCATTTTTAGTTGTTACTGAGATTTTGAGTTTATATTAAAATAATATTTAAAATAAAATAATTAAAGTTTTTGATTAAAAGTATAACAGAGATGATATGAATTAATATTTAGAGGGGTGTATTCATTTAGGACTCTTAGAGACTTTTTAGAGACTTTTTTTAAATGGGTGACTTTTGTGGACTGTATGCAACTTTTAATGGTTTTTGTGGATTTTGTGGGTATATAATTAAATTTATATGAAATGCTCATACAAAATTATGTGCATAATAACTAGCATCAATAAAGTCAAATTAGTAATTAAAAAATTATAATATTAATTTAAAATGTGTTATAATATTAAACACCATCTATTGAGCTAGAATGAAGACAAGAGAAAAAAATATTATAACAAACAAACTCCATAAGAAAAAAAAAGCATGAAAAATATTCAACAGTTAGAACCTTTTCTTGTATTTGTCTCATTTTCTTCTACTTTTTCTTTGTTTGATTTAGCTGTATAGTTTCTGGAGATCGCATGCTCTTTTTGAATTGAGGTGCATGCCCAAAAATGGATGACACAAATGTATGCTTTGTCATTTTTCCAAATACTAAATCCATACATTTTCTCAAATAAAGTAGGCATGCCCAAAAATTTGTCTAGTATTATATAAGATAGGTCTCTGATGCTTATTTAAATTGATTACTACATGAAAANTTGAAGAAATTGAACGAAGCAATTTACAAACGATGTGAACAGAGAAAAGTTTATCGACTAATCATGCATATTACAATTGATTTTTTAAAATGATAAAATCAATTTCTTGGAAGCAAAACAAACCATAATCGTACATATTAACATACAAGCCGTAGATTGGTGTTAATCGGCAAATCTAATTAGCACCACAAAAATATCAACTATAAAATTTGAATCAATCAACAACTCAAGAAGAGAGAGAAAAGAGTATGAGAGTACCTTGTAGAAGAGAGGGAGTGAAGTCTAGAGAGAAAAGAGTATGAGAGTACCTTGTAGAAGAGAGGGAGTGAAGTCTAGAGAGAGAAGAGTATGAGAGTACAAGAGAGAGAGGGAAGAGTCTAGAGAAAAGAGTATGAGAGTACAAGAGAGAGAAGAAAGAGTCTTCACGTAAAATCTCACAAGAGAGAGAGAGGGAAGGGTCTTCACGTAAAATCTCACAAATTTGGTGAGATTTTCACAGGTTATTTTTCTTTATACTTTTGGTAAAAAGTCTCCAAAAGTCCTTCGCTTTTAAAAGTCTCATAAAATCTTTCTAACTTGAATAACGGGAATTTTTAGAGACTTTTAGAAAGTTTTAACTGAATACATGTAAACTTTTTGAGAGTCTCAAAAAGTTTGAATTGAATATCCCTAATCTTCAAAAGTATTTAAAAGTCCTAATTGAATACACCCCTTTTAGTTAAAATTGAGTGAATAAATAATGAGTTAAAATTGATGATATGTGTAAGAAAATATGTTTGATATTATTGAATTATATTGATAATACTGAGAATAGTAGGGTTGAGTTAAATTTAAGTTAGATGTTGAGTACGGATTAGAAAAATTTATAAACAAAGACCCCCTAAAAGTGAGTACATGTTTCTTGGTTAATTAAAGAAACATAAAAGCTGTTATAAAATAAAGAGAAATAGAGAGAATATAGAGAATGTTTCTCTTGGTTGTATTTTCATTATAACTGAAGCTCTTATTTATAGGAAAACTTCTGATGGTACAATCGTAATAATACAATTACATCAAGGACAAAATAGTCATTCATATACATTATTTTATAATAAAAATAATTATTGGTGGTGGTGGTTGAACCATCCCATATTTATAACACTTCCCCTTGAATGACTATTTTGTAAAAAATATTTTAATTGATGTGAACAAATTCCAATCTAAACATCTTGAAGTGTATCTTGTGGCCATCATGTACTGGTGCTTCAGTATGTCAAGAAAACCCGGTGGGACAAAACCTGATCATTATGGAATCACATTGCTTCCTCAGGAAAACCCGGCGGGACAAAACCTGAGTATTGTGGAAGTACAACTTTGCTCCCCCTCAAATAGATCATCTTTAGTGGAGTATCCATGTGCTGCCTCATTAAAACCTTGTCAAGAAAACCCAGTGAAAAAAACTTGATCGAAAGAAAAAGAGTACAACTACCCCAGTATTTTCTCATCAGCATGAGGAATTATATTATCTTCATTATACCATGAATATGCCTTGTTAAAACCTTATTAAGAAAAACCCAGTGGGACAAAAATCCTAATGAAGGAAAAAGAGTACACTATTCATGTGAATACGCCATCCCTGTTGCCTCATTAAAAACCTTGCTGGTAAAACCTAATGGGACAAAATCTCAGTCAAGGGAAAAAGAGTACAACGTGTATTCCATATAATTATCATAACAATCTTCCCATGATTTGTACGAGTATATCATATAGATTCATTCAGATTTTCATATACTGATGGTATTTATACCATATCATTCATTGTGCAACTTTCAGTTTTAAACTCATTCTCATCACTTATTTGGGAATTTCAATTTGAACAATCCCAACGCTTCCAGCGTATTATTCCACCATCGTAATATTTCACCTCCATCAGTATCATTCGATTTATTTGTACACTTCCAGTGTGATAAATATATCATTTACAAATTTCAATCATTGTCTCCCCCTCATCTTAACAAATCCCAGATTTGTATTTTCAATATTGAATTTCTTGAGGGGAGTTCATACAATCTTCGTTTCACTCTCGATTTCAATATATATAATAGGAGAACTTTGAGCTCATATCACTTATAATGTGCACATTTTTCTTTCAAGAGTTCATCATATCATTTGGATATATTACTAGCTTTATCACTTTCATATGACACTTATTTTCATTATTTCATAACTATTTCGTAACTTCAAGTGACGTGTCATATACCCATTCTTTGATCAAATCATCTCGTAGCTTTAGGTTACGTTTCATATACACATTCATTGCTCAAAACATCTTGTACTTCAGGTTACGAATCATACACTCATGTGGCTATCTAGTAGATCCATAATATCTAGTAGCACACATGGAGAGGTAGTGGGCCCATATCATGCCCCTTTCATACTCAGATTCATCAAAAATCGATTCACAAATATTTAGCTAGTAATAATTTTCACCAATCGAAAACAAAGCATCTCATATCGTAAAGAATAAGTTAATCATGCAAACCATCATCATTGATATAAGTAAACACCACAATAATTCATTGTGATACATTTATCATATTATCTTTTTGCGACAATAAATGCATTTTAATTTCAGATTCTGATAGACAATATTTTATTCAATATTTAAATCCAGAACCGTATCACATGTGTATCATACCTTCAGGGTATATAACCAATATATGACCCAATACTTCGGGGATCAATTATACAGTTGATGTACTTATCCACAAATATATCAAGTCCAAAGATTACTCGTCATACATGAAACATAAATATTTTCAACATTTATCACGATATGTCTTTAAGAATATAAATATAAATCTTGCTAGCAAATTCATCGAAAAAGTAGTATCAAGCCTGATGCAGTTTGCGAGAAACTTTTATAACAATTGCGCTTATCAAATAAACTTCAGGTCGTTTGTAGACTTCAAGTCCATTGGAACTTCAGGTCATATAATATCATCATTAGTTTCTTTGGATTTTTATAAATCTTTGTTAAAATTCTAAATATTTGACACTCATTGGTGTTATAATTTTACATCTCTAAAAAGATTCAAGTAGATTGGTTTGGGTTAAATATACTCCTTATGGGAGATG